ACGATGGCCCGCAAGTTGGCGCGAGATCCGTGTGGTGTCGGTTTTTTACAAAAGATTAAAGGATTGTTGGCAGAGTTTGGTCGCCGCGTCCACACGTTGGCCGCGAGTTTAGTTTGCTACAAGCTCCCAGAGTGATTACACGCATCTGATTAAAATTTTATATTCACGCTTTGTAGGGTGGAAGACCCAATTACCACTTTCCTACTACTTTAATTAGCGCGATTTAATTATTTTTAAACATTTGTTTTAATCGATAAGCTATTTATAAAAAAAATAATGAACATTTATTTATAATCAGATTATTACGAGAAAAATTTTAAAATGAAAAAAAAAATGAAGCACGTCGTTTATACGTGGTAGAACCATGCAGTTATATTAGAAGTATAGTTGTAGCACGAATGGGTCGGTTCGACCGGGGAAGGACCACGCTCTCACAGAATATTAATGTAAAATAGTAGCTTAATGATGCTGTGTTTCGTATGGTGAGTGTAGAGAACCAGAGACACTTTTTAAAGGAAACGAGGCATTTCATCTTAGTCCTCACGGGTGACAACGCATCTGCATTTTGATTCGTAATCGAGGATAGATGTACTCGTAGATGTCTATGAGCCACTGTAATCACTTACCATCAGGTGAACTGTGTGCTCGTTTGTCACCTTATCCTATATAAAAAAGCGTCAATTTCTTTTAATTTAATCGTGCAAGTTTTCGAATCATCATCATTACAGCTCTTCACAAGTCCACTACTGAACATCCTCCTCCAAAGAATGCCGCAAAGCATGGTCCTGAGCCACTTTCCTTGTCATGAGTTTTTCATTTATGTTCTAAGTTATAATTAGTACCTATTATTAAGTCAGTGCTAATTATATTTACTGCTATTGTTTTTGTTTTTCTCAAAAAATAATTAAATTACCAAATAAATTATAAGGTGTTTTTTATATACATCAAATGTCAGATAGAAAATCAAGTACATGTTTTGCTAAAAACAAAACCCAATTTTAAAACATAGACTAATCGATTATAACTCCTTTAACTTTAAAATAAGTTAACTTCTAATTAATGGTATTTATTCCAGTTTCTGATGCATGTAAAGAATAAATAAAGCTAATCGTATATCGTATATCTATTTGCAGCCCCATTAATATTCACTATTCTTTTATAATTATTTTATGAAAACGTTACCCCCCACACTTGGATTTTCTCCTGTGTCGCGGAGGCTACTTACAATTGCACAAGGACACACATCCAGAACCGAAACAATTATTTGTAGGATATACAAATACTTGTTCCGTGCGGGATTCAAACCCGCGACCCCTGGCACAGCCACTCATTGCCAAGCCACTGCGCCACGGAGTCGTCGTCTAAAATAAAATAAATTCGTCCGCACATTGGCCGCGAAGTAAACTGAACGACCTTCCAACGTGTGGACGCCGTCTTTTTTTTTTTTTTTTTTTTTTTTTTTTTTTTTTTTTTGCGCCCGAAGCAATTAAAGGGCTACCCTGTACGTAGGGAGGCGGAAAATGCATTACGCATACCACGATAGCCGGTCTATCGTGGTTATGGGGGACTCACTGTCCTACCGGGGACCCTAAGTGATACCCCCTAAAAACCGCCTTTAGGGACAGGCAACCGGCTGATTAAGCTCTATTGTGCCTTATCATGAGCGACCCTCTTTTGGGAAAAGAGGGCGCAGGCGGCTAAGTGCCGCTGAGGGAGTGCCTACGAAGGCAAATTAATGTCAGATATTACAATAATTTTATTTAATTAGAGTTGGCCTGAGCTGCCAGGAGACAGTTCAGGTCGTTTGAGAGTTTATTAGGCGGGTCCGAGAGAGAGTTTCTCGGCCTGCGGACACGATAGCGAGAGGGGGGTGGGGCTGCATAAGAAGCTGCCTCACGAATTAAGTGGTTTGGGTATGGACGCCGTCACCAACTCTCGGCCAATATATTCGCCACTACATTCGCCACTGTGTTGGCCAACGTGTAGAGGCGACATTAAGCTATTTTCTACACAGAGATGCCCGAATGTAAACGTAATCACGATGGTCAGCATATGCTGTATAATTATTTATTTGTGCTTTATTGCTACAACCTCAAATAAAAGGACTTAATGCCTTTAGGCATTCTCTCTCAATCAAGTGTTCGAAATCGAAAGACACCTTAACCACATGAGTATTCTGTTTCTTTACTCTTGTAATACCTTAACGATTGTGCTAACGACCCTGCATGTTGGAAAGGCTTGCAGCCCTTTTTGCTGCGAAATCTTCTATCTTGGCGATTAAACAACTTTAAAATCATCAAAACTTTAGAAGAAAACCACCCTAATTTTAAACATAAAAAAGACCTAAGCCTTACTAATCGTACGTTTTCAATTCAACTGGACAATTCTGGCACGCACATGTCAAAAAATTTGAAGGACAAAGTTCGGGTCAGCGTGCCATACTATCAGGGTTTGGGGTGATAAAAAAAATCTAGAGTCGCCGTATAGAAATCGATGAGGAGGATTATTATACTAATATTGAAAGTAAGTTCGATCGTTTAAAGCCCACATATTTAAGTTTTTAAATTGTTGCATAATTATGTAGATTTCTACTTAAATATGTAGGAATACTAATGGTAGGTATAATGTAGTAAGAATAATTTTAAACGGATCAATATTAGTAGGTAATAAGTTTTATAAAAGTGGTTTTATTCAGAATTATAGTACAGTTCAGTTTTAATTTTTCAATCTTTTATTTTTAAAATTTAGGCCTGTCATGGCGCTGCGAATCAATGACCTCAATTATAAGATTTAACGGAACCTTAAAATACTTTCATACATAGCGCACTCCAATATGGTTTTATTCATTTACTTAACTTAATTTTACTTAACTCATTGAATATAAAATACAGATGTGTTCCTCTTTGTAGGTAAATCTTCACACAACATTCGACATCAGTAGAATATAGCTTTTAAGGTTACCTACGTTTATAGAGTAAAACTGGAGATTTACAGCTAAAAACCCTACTTTGCTACATGTATACACATCCGTGCATAATTATATAGATTTTCTTATCCATACCTAGAAACATTTTATAGATAAGTATGTAACTATATCGTGGATCGGTATAATACCACACCCATGATCGGGCACGTAGGTACTATTACTATTAGGCCCCTCGTCCCTAGGTACGTAACTTACTCACATTTAAAGGCACTGGCAGATACTGCCATGCCACTGTATAAGGTAAGGTAGGTACTCACCTAGAAAAAGAATAATTACCTAACCAGTGCATATTTCACATATCTGCGCTCATATTGCAGATCTCACGTATCTGCGCTCATATTGCAGATCTCACGATTATTATAATGTACCTATATAATATATTATGGTATTTAATATTATTTAAACCTTTATGTCAACCTGTTGCATTCTTTTTTTAAATCTGTAATGAAGATTGGTTATTATAGGTAAATTATAAGAATTATCACCAGAAATATACCTAATAATTCCATGTACCCTTTATAATCTAGCTCCTACCTAGGTAGGTACGTATTCTATTTGTCGTTTATATTATATAAGTATAAGATGGCAAAATAATATTAGGTATATTTATAGGAAGGTAATCCAAAGCTTTGGTTAAAATGCGTTATCAATACCTAGTTGTAACTTGCTTATCAATTTTTTTCTACAAGTAGGTACCTATGTGATCTTAATGCAAATGTCTGTGCAATATACCTATAAAATTCTAATTACGAAATAAAAAGAAGGTTCCTAGGTCCAGATGTTACATTTTTTAATTTAAATAAGTTTAGGCTTTGGCCAACTTTGGAGCAATACTGGACTTTGGGCAACTTTGGAATAAGAGAATTATTTCTTAATTTAGGTAGGTACTAAGTATATAAGTTTTAGTAAAATTTGTTGATTGGCCTGACTACGCTAATGATTTTGAATTTTGAATAAATTAAGCATTTATGTAGATACGTATATAAAATATTAAATATGTAATAGAATTTAGCCTAATTTCTACTATCGACTTCAGTAGAGTACGCCACTGGCAAAGTCACGTGACTGACTCGACGCCGCCATATTGCGTTAGTGCGGTGGCGAGGGATCATGTCGCACTGTCCCTGATTTTTTTAATATTTATAAGATTATACTAAGTAAGTTCTCGTGGTTGCTAGTGAAGTTATATTTTAAATATATTCTGTGCTGAATGATCATTTACATTGTTGTAGCAGCGCTGTGTAAAAAGTTCCTAAGAAGAAATTCATTGTGGGCTATACGCACTACCATTGAAATAACCAAGTTACTAGTGAACGTCGAACGAGTACCAGAGGAGGCTCAGCGACAACGCACCGAAGACAAGACTGGGTATTGTATCTTAAATTGGTTTAGATACATTTAATCAACTTAAAATAGTATTTATACTTAAAATTTTCAATGAATTGTAAAAGTTATACACCGGCATAGATTGTTTACTTTTGTAAAAACCTGAAATAACATTAGAAATAATATTTTTTTGTGTAATTAATTTTAGATATTGATTGCATATGATCATTTTCTTATGATTTGAAAAGATAAATAGGTAATAATTTCTAAGTTCTGTTCTCTTATTAGCGTACGAGGTACGATACTTAGTCGTGTGTTTGTTTTTGTTTTGATTTATCGTCTACTTAATGAATCCAAATTGAAATTAGCAAATCATCAGCGGTACCAACAAATTTTGGTGATGTGACCTTTTGCAGTCAAAGCTAGACACGTACACGTAGCTCTACGAAGTTGTACCATGGAACCGCCATTTTGATTGCTTGCGCCTTGCCCAGAGGGGAGAGGCGGCGGGAGGGGGCGGTGTTCACTATAAAAAAAATGTGACGCTAAGTCACTTCATATCAAAACTTTACCCATCCCACAACACTAAAAACATAACCTAATTTGATGATTGTTTTGACAGGTGTCACATGGAATGTAGTTTGATGTCAAGATGAATGGGGGAGTGAATGGCACTATGGAGGAACCTATGGAGCTATCCCACTCTGCTTCCCCTAAAACCACGCAAATTCCTACTGATGAAAATGCCCTTGATAGGCACTGTGAAGACAGTAATAGCAATGAAGCTAGCAATCATATAGAGAATGATAAGGGAACCTTAGTTGAGAACAGCACAAACTGCCAGGCTAATGAAGACAGTAATGCTAGTAATAAAGTATGTAATGAGGAAATACCAAATACAGAAACAAAGGTGCCTTCTGAGAAACATAGCAATAATATCCCAGAGTTAAAGCACTGTAGTAATAGTAATGAGTCGAATGTAGGGTCATTAGATAGCTCACAGATTAAGTCTGAGCATAATGGAGAATCAGGAAAATTACAAAGTTCTTTTGAAGAATCCTCAGAATTGAATGAAGCGGCCAACAAGGAAGTAAGTATTGTAGGCTGTATTTTCTCTTCATTTTTACTTTCATAATAAATAAGAATAAATTTCTTATTACACTGTTTATTCTGTATTAAGTAGTTATATTTTATCAGCTTTTATTCTGTAACTTAAAAGAAGAGTTAAAATCTGCAATTTCTCACAGACATAGTTTTGTGTTAAAACTTAGGTCAATAAATGAAACATTAATTCTTATTTATTTAGTTTGCTTGCCATAAGTGACATCCATCTAATGCCGCTATTTTTCTACTTTTAATGTTTTTCTGCAAGTGTTCCAACAATCAACTTGTTGCTCAGATGTTATTAAACTTTAGTTATTATATATTGACAGTTTACAGTGCTAAATATAACTCAACAAATTATTTTAGTATTTCAGTTTGCAGTTGAGAGTTTTATTAGAACCAATGTCCTCTCAGATCCTTCAAATTTTATTCAATAATCATATTGCTTGTAAACTTATTGATTGAAATACCCTATGCCCCATATGCCCCTCTTAATAATTACTACATTTGGCGTGTGGCTTGGCAACTGCAGTTTTTTATTATTTATAAGTTGATAGCAGTGACATGCTGCTGCCTGTCCTCTGCTCCGTTTCCTCCTGCTGTCTCTCACGACACTCACAGGATGGTATAGGGTAGTGAATTATCTTATGCCTTCACTATGTACCACTAAATGCATTTAAATGAATACTTAACATTAGTATCATTTCATTGCAATTATTCAATATTTAATTACTCTTTAATTATTATAAAGAATGTAAGAAAAGAATGAAACTATATTTGGATATACATTTTTCAGTAAACTAATTTCTGATTCACAATATTTGGTGTTTTGCTCAGTGAATGTCAAAACAGACCTTGAAATCCCAATTTTACGATTCTACTTAAATTTGCAGTAATGTAAACAAAAAGTACTCAATTTTTTCCTTACCTTAAAGTTTTGCTTTATTATCATAAATCTGGAATTTGGAGTATGTGTAAGATAGATTTCATAAAATACAAAGAAAAAATATGCAAGTGGCTATACTTTTGTGATGATTCTTTTACTGCAGTTAATGTACATGCTCCTTTAGTGTAATATCATTTCATTACTAATTTTTTTTTAGTTTCTTAAAAAATATTTTATTTGTTTATTAAAGGTAGATAATGCAATGCTGCAAACACTTTATAATATTACTTTGTAACTGAATATCTCTTGTTAAACTTAACACAATATTTATTTTGCACTTAAAGCCATTATAAAGTAAAAATATTACATCATAACTTTTATAATAAAATAATACTTAAATATTAACTATTAAAATATTTAAACTAACTTTTTTCACATATGTGATACATAAATGGTACTGTCCTAAGACAAAGGTGAAGGTTTTTGTACTGATAAGTTTGCACTATTCCAGCACATTTTGACAGACTTCATATGTTTTTGAAATATTTTATTCCTCCAATTAGTAGACTTGAAAGAAATAAAAAGATTTCTTCACGATATTTTTCCCACCATTAAGCACAGAGTAAATCAGCCCTTAAAATTGTAACAAACAATTTAATTGGTGCTGCCATAGCATTTGAGGCAATCCATGGTGGAGGCTCTTTATCAGCAGAAAACTTGTGATGGCCTGTAATTAATGAATGAATGAAATGACAAGATTACCGTAATCCTTTATTTCAGGAGTCAAATCATGAAATAGATTGTGATGTGGACTCATCAGAAGGAGAAGGTTCTGAAATGTCAGCAGATCGCAGAGCTGAAGATGCAGTTAGTATAAATTCAGACACACATAATGTGAATACTAATGAGCCCTCTCAGGATAGCAAAGCAAAAAATAGTGACATGGTTTTATTAGAAAATGAACATGTGCAAAAAAAACAAAATAGTAACAACAGGGACACACCAAGCCCTCAAGTGCACGAAATAGTAAGTGATAATGATGACTGTGTAGTTGAAAATAATGTGAAAGCCCCTGTTACAGAAAATAAGGTGCAATTGCGACGTAGCAGCAGAGCTATAAAACGTAAAAGGTATGATGATGATTTGGAAAATGGTGATGGAGAATCTGATGTTGAGCTTGTGGCAGAAGACCCTTTGAGGCGCAAATCTAGACCTATTGTCATTAATGACACTAAAACTTTAGTGCAGATGGCTGCAAGACAAATGAAAGCAGGTCATACGGGACATCAGAAGAAGGAGCCTACAGTTGTTATTATTGACACAAACTCTGGTGGACTAAGTAAACCAATACCAATTAAAAATTCAATATCTTCTAGTAGCGCTTTAAGTACACAAAATCTTTATCAAAGTATTGTAGCTCGTGGTACATCTGTGACACCAATCAGCAGCAAAACTAATTCATCAACACATAGCTCTTCATCAATGAACTCACAACCCATGATATTACCTTCCCTTACAGATGATATGTATGTTGTTGAAGCCCCATCTTTTATTGTACCATATGTGTATGAAAAACCTTCTATGAAGCCATTTAGAGAATTTGTTGATGAGCTAGGAAGTGAGCTTGAAGAGCAAAAAGCCAAAGAAGAAAAAGAGCATACAGAGAAGGACAAAGAAGAAAAAGAAAAGGGAGATGGTGAAGAAGAACCAGAAGTGGAAACAGAAAAGCAGGTCAAAAACGAGCTGCTTGAAGAAGATGAAAAGAAGAAGAAAAAAGCAGAAAAAAGAGGTAAGATGCAAATTCTTTTTTATCACCAGTAGTGATATGGTAGTAGTAGTTAAGTAATATCATAGAGAATATAACCACTAGAGAGCGTATAGGCAGATTTATTCTAAGCAGACGACTCACTACTGCGGGCCAGGGGACGAGGAAGAACGCGTGGCTGCAAATGGTCAAGTTGCATTATTATGGCTATCGTTCGGGTTGCTCTTCTTAATAAAGGAAAGTATTCGATATCGGTAAAGTGGATTTTATCATTATGAAAAATACTCAATTAAAATCATAGAAATAATATTTAATCAAAATCAATCAGTTACAAGGAAAACATGTATTTATTATATTATTATTGATTTTTAAAATGAATTTATTTGTTATATTTATTTTGATTTAAAGTTTAAGGGTCCTGATTGTTATTTGTAAAAAAATATAAACAAGCGTCTACATATTTGTAAATTTTGCATTTTGCTAATTCAATTAAAATGATTTGTTGATTCTATTTCAAATTAATGAAAATGAATATCCGTGAATCAATAATACCCAATCAGAGATTTTAAAACCGATCTTATAAAATAATTGGTGTTATATTTCGAAGACAGCACTTTTGAGCTACTCTCATTGATTGCCCTCTTAATAAAAATTTTACAACAACGATAAATATCTATTACTGTAGTGGATCAGCACAATAACTTGTCCTTAGTGTCCTTTTGAAATTGTATGGCGTTCTGATTTGGTACACCAAACTAACTAATTTAATTAGGTAACTATAAACTTAAACTAGGAAAAAATACCGATGAACTGAGAACCTCCTCTTTTTTTCTGAAGATGGTTACCGTACAATAACTTGTCTTTAGTGTCCTTTTGAAATTGTAAGGCGTTCTGATTTGGTACACCAATCTAACTAATTTAACTAGGTAACTATAAACTTTAACTAGGAAAAAAATACCGATGAACTGAGAACCTGCTCTTTTTTTCTGAAGACTGTTAAAAGTAGATAAGTATTTTTTCACAGTGTGTGAATTGAATAATCTTTTTATTAATTTTATTTTTTTATTTTCAATATCGACTTTCAGCTATTAAAGGTAACAGTAAGTACTAATGTTTACGATAAACATACAAGGGGAAAGAAAGGGATAGAAGCATTAGAATTGTCTAATAATAGAACGAGACTTTTCCAAAAGACATCAATGCGTGACTCAACCATGTCGTCATTTATCCGGCCACTGTTTTAGATAGACCCCTGCGGTGGCTCATAATCTGAATTAATCAACAATAATTTTCGACTTTTTACTTAGCAATGAAAAGTTACTCCATTCTTTTTGGACATCTGTCCTGGAAAGTTTCCCACACCACTTCACCGCACATGAAGGCGTTTTGATGCATTATAATTGCATAAAAGTTATAAAATTTGCATTAATTTAGCATGTACACAGGTCTAACACTTGGACAATACTAAAATGGTTAATAGTACCATAGCCTATGCATAGGCGGCAAAATACTAATAGTTTTCGAGCATAGGGGCATTGTATGCGCAGTCAAGTGGTTATATAGTCTGAGTAATATACTGGATTCTAGAAAAACATTTACCTTGTACTATTAAATCAGAGAGAAATCAAATAGTTTACTACACTACTAAAAATAACACTACCTTTTTTACGTTTTTTTATACATTATTCTAATCTATAAAAAAATGTGCTAGTTTGTCATCTTATGATGACAAACTAGCACAGTCCGTCTGATGGTAAGTGAATATTGTGGACCATAGATATCTACATTTATCCTCTCTTTTTTCTTTTGTACACACACCATATGAATTATAGCAGCATTAAGCTGCTATTTTAGGCTTGTAATCTGTTAGAGCGTGGGTCTGCGCCAGTTAAGCCGACCCATTTGTGCTACAACCATTTTTTTTAAATATGTGTGAGCAGCTATGCCGGTCTAGGGAAAGAGACCAGTATCACTGCAACCTAAAAGATGTATTGTGATCGCTGCTATAGTATAGTTAACTGCTAAGCCCTATGTGTTTAATGAATAGGAGTTGCTTAGCTGTGAGTAATTTCACTTCTTCTGGGAGAAGTTCATAGTTTCCTAGATGAGTGTTACGTTTGCGTATTAAGGTTCCACAATCAGTTAGGATGTGAGTTGCTTAGTCCCAGGATGGATGTGCTTTTTATGACAACAGTGTCCAGTTAGGGCTCTTAATTTACGATCAAAAACTCTGATTAAGGTTTTAGAATGTTATAAGCTGGTTGTGTCAGACCAGATACTAAGTGATTTATTGTGATAAAGAGTTTCTAGGGTCAATTGGGCTAGGCTTCTTGAGATGCCACAAAATGACTCAGGTCCAAATTGTGTATTTCTGCTGTGCGAGTTTGTTGGAAAGTTCATTGCCTATATGACCCGCGTTACCCAGAACCCTTCTTAAGATGACCCTGTTGTTACATTCCAGGGCATATAAACTGTTCATGCAGTCTTCAACTAGCTTCGAGTTTACTAAGTTTATCCTGAGCGCTGGTAGTGCTGCTTGAATCTCAGAGTTAATACAAATTATATAGTTGACGTAGTGTTTTTGCAGATTGATTTCCGCACACTGAAGTATGGCGAAAATTTCTGCCTGAAAGATAAAGTGGATTAGAATTTGGGACGTTCCTCATACATTCCAAAGCCTATGTCGACGAGACCCATTTTTGACCCATCGGTATACCATATGAGGCTACCGACCCCACAGATGATGTCTTCTCAGGAGGGTAGTTTCACTATATATCTTTTATAAAAAGTTTAGTGGACGCATGATATCTAAGATAACGCATAGGACCAGTGTTTGCTTAATTGAGTTAAGCATGGATTTCAATCTGTAGGAGAACAAGTACAAACCACCCTGGGCATTAATCCTTTACAAACTAGTCTTCGCCTCCTTGTCTAGATAAAGATCAAGGTGCGTGACTGTGTATAGCAAAAAAGATTGAAAAACGTAGAAATTGTTGAGTAAATTCCACACGGGTGAAGTCATAGGTGAATGCTAGTATTGTAAAATGTATGAAATTTTTTGAAATCAATGTATTGACAATGCATACATGTTTTTCTTGTTTACAGCGGAACGTAGGAGACGCAGAAATGAAGATGATGACGCATCTTGGGATGGAGAGAGTTCTACAGATTCTGACGATGAAATAGGTAGTGACGAAGAAGATAAAACCATAGTCATAAAGGATAAAGCAGATTCCATAGAGGAGATAAAAGATGTTACTGGTTTGACTGTAGAGAAAGTAGTTACTGGAAAATCCGACAATTATTTTGATTGTTCACTTGGTAAATTTTTTATGAATATAGGACTGAATCTTGTCCAAGAGTTTGTACAAACTGATTTGCTCAAACAACAAAATAGGAAACTGTACAGAGAGAAAAAGTCTGGTCAAAGTACAAGAGCTACAGAGACGTCAATTGCCTCCCTAATGAAAAATTTGGAGTTTAGCAAAGAGAACAACGCACCTTACCGATATAAACAAAAGAAATGTGAATTTTGTAGCTTTAAGTCAGAGTCTGTGCTAGTTATGGCACACCATCTAGAGACACCACATATGAAAAACAATGTTTATAAATGTAATTATTGTACATTTGAAATTCGAAGTCCTCATGATATTCTTTATCATATGGAGTCGGAGCACAACGTCCGGGGCAAGTTGGAGAGAGCACCAGCATATCACCAATGTGCCAACTGTCCCTTTGAGGACAATGGTAAAGGGAAATTGGCTCGTCATCTTATACCATGTGCTAAGAAATTCAAACCTGAGGCTAATTTAGCGCCGCCCGTCGAGTGGGAGCCTCCAGCAAAAATACCAAAGGTTAAAATTTGGCACTCATATTTTTTTATACTTTTTACTTTTTTATACTTACTACTTAGCTTGTTACATAATATGTAGTTTTTGCTTGTCCGTTTATATTTTAAATTGTATGTGAAGCTAGAGTTCTAGGGCAGTGTTTTTTAATTTTTAAGTGATTAGGGTCCATTTTACAGTTTTTTTTTTGTTGTGCCATGGAGCGCCAACTCGTATATATTAAACGCCAACTATATTAAACGTATATATATTATCGTAAGGTTGATTGTGAGTGAGATTAAGTGAGTGGCCTGTAAAGAACCACTGTTGTAGAGTATTAATATTAAATTTACGTTAGAAAACAATACAATAACATGTGAACAGAGAATGCAAAAGCTTATTTTGACTCTCCATATCAGTTGCGAATAAGCTCAGTTTCGAAAAATCTAAAACGATTTTTTTCCAATTGGGTTAAAAAGCATTGAATTTTAGTCTACCTCTGATTTTACCCAATAAGTCTGATATCTGGCACAAATAGCTTAGGTAACGAGACTGCCTCTCAGTTTGCACACTTATGACTCTTATCACCATCACAGTTAGATTTTTGTAAAATAATAGCAGTAGTGCTATTAACATAACTGTAATTCATTTTATCTCCTCTAAGTAATATTAACAACTTTGTCCCTGACAAACACATAATAGTTAAACAATTGAAATGTTCTTATATGACTAATGGGATAGTGAAATGGTTAAAACTGCTTGTATTAAGAGTGGTACACCACGGTAGTCGAATGGCGGATTCGAAACCAAGACTATGTTAGCAGTCAGAACCATTACGCTACTGTCACTTAATTTATTTGAAATTAGCTAACTAGAAATCAGTAAGTTAGCTTTTCGCCTTGCATGGTTTTTCTTTATTTTGTTTGCATATGTTCTCTGAGTGTATAGAGCACGTACATTTCTCCAATAGGTAACGAAGTCGCGCAACAACAACATGATGGGCACTTATCAGAGCGCGTTCCATCGTGGGCAGGTGGGCAACAACCTGGGCCGGCCTCCGCTGGCGTCTACCGTGACTGGGCCCACTGTTGGGGGTTCGGCAGCGTTCAGAGCTCGTGGCCGTTCCCCGATGGCGGTGCCTCCTCGCTCCTCAGTGCACGGGACTTCAATGCTTCGCGGCGGTGTTATGATACGGCACAACGCTCCGACACCCGTTCTCATGCCCACCAACTACCCTGCTGCGGTAAGTTTGTTTGTTTGTTGTAAGTTTGTTTGATCACCTCGACCGGGGAAGTAACACGCTTTTACAACAGCAGCGTAATATAGCAGCTAGTATGCTGCTGTGTTTCGTATTGAGACTCTTTATACTTGGAATAAGGCACAATCCAACATAAGGAAACCGCGAATTATCTGCAGGCATGGGTAAGTAAGTCATACCCACCTATAGAGTCCTAAAAAAGTCCCGCTAGGCTTTTTGCCGGTTCTTCGTAGGACAAAGGTTTTTCCAAACAAGTGAACTGAAGTGTGTTAATTAAGCGAACTAGTGACTTTCAACAAGTATTATTTATAATTTATTTTGAATAAATAAGTTTCTGTTTCCTACCACCTAGTGAAAATTGTTATCCATCCTATTTTTATCACCATTTAACATAAGTAGTTTCCTCCCACATGTCACAAATTGACAATTGCAGTGTCATTGTGTAACTCTGGTGAGTAACTTGGTTACTGATTTGTTTCTTTATATCACTTTGTAACCTAAAATAACATATAAAAAGAAAAAAGAAAATACTTGCACTTGTAATCAATAGTCAACACATTTACACAATTTACACAATACAATGAAACACAAAACCTAACCAAACAAAGCTAGGAAAACATACCCAATTCAATAATATAATTGCACTGCTGTTGAAAAATGCAGGCTCACAAGTCCCTGAGTTCCTCAGGATTGCTTCATAGCAATCTATGTTTAGTTGTACACGTATTATGATTATATTGTTTTTTCTTAATATGAATCTAGAGCAAGTAGTCCACTTGGGGACAAGTGGATAGGCACTTGCCCCCAAGTGGACTACTTGCTCTTGGTTTTGAGGTATATATGATGGGAAGATAAGTCATGATCTCTAAAACGCAGCCCAGCCGAGTGGGATCCACTTATTGAGCTTGAGTTTGAGACTTTTATTTGTAGTTTTTTCCAACCGACAAATATCTTGATGAAAGGCACAAAGCAAAGCCAAAAATGCTAGCCTTTAGATACTGCTATCATCAACCTGCTGGTTGACTGTAGCGATTACTAAAAATATTTCTTCCATAGGGTAGACAAGTTTAGGAGATAATACACTCTTGTGTTTTATCTCCTAAACTTCAAATTCAATTAAATATATTTTACACTCAGAAATGTAAATGAATAATTCTTTTAAAATGTCTCTTCTATCCCAAATTAAATTTATGTAATTAAAAGAGCTCTGTTAAATTCTGCAATTGTATCTGTACAAGGATGGCACTAAAAATTTCGGGAATCAAGGAAGTGACACAACATTACTATTTAAAAATGTATTGCTTTTCAAAGTATTATCCGCGAAATTTGACACATTTTTCCATACGATGGAACCGATCATTGAAGCAACCATTCCATTCGGAAGTTGGGGTCTCCAAAATGGCCGTTTTGTAGGCGTCCACAGCTTCTTCAGGTGATGAAAATCTCTGTCCACGCAATTTATTCTTTATTTTAGGGAAAGTATAGAAATCATAAGGGCTTAGGTCGGGGCTGTACGGCGGATGGTCTAATAATTCTATGTTTTCTTGCTCTATAAACTCTTTTGTTCTGTGTGCGGTGTGAGAACTCTCATTGTCGTGATGGAGGATGATGCAGAGTTTGCAGTTCTCTTTACGGAGTTCAGAAACGACCTGTGGCAAACAAATGCTAGCATACCATACTGCATTAACCGTTCTTTGTCCCTCAAGAGGAATAGTCGTAACATGGCCGGTTTTGGAGACAAAAATGGCCACCATTTTTTTTGAAACACTCCGTGAATGAACAATTTTTGTTGGCTTTAACTCATTTTCGAACACCCAAACTCGTGACTGGTTTTTTGTTTCGGATTCTTACGCGTATATCCAGGATTGGTCACCTGATACGATGTTGTATACAGCATTTGAGGATCCTGCGTGGAATCTTTCGAGAGTTCTGACGCACCAAGTAACGCGAGCCGCTTTTTGCTCTGCACAGAGCGAATGCGGTATCCATCGGGAAAACAACTTTTTTACACCTAATTGTTCATGCAAGATTATTTGTATTTGACTCATGCCAATGTCTAAAGTTGCCTGAATTTCGCGATATGTCACATGTCGATCTTCCTCAATCAGCTTACGCACAGCATCAACGTTTTCTTCGGTGACTGCAGTTTTTGGACGACCTTGATGGGGGATCATCACTGAGCTTGACACGTCCATGTTGAAATTCAGCAAACCAGCGATAAATTGTGGTTTTGGATGGGGCTTCATCAGTAAATGCAGAAATCATCCAGTCAACACACTGTTTTTGTGTTAAACCACTTCGAAAGTCATAATAAATCATCGCTCTTGAATTTTCTCAAGTCAATTCCATTTTTACAACGACTAAACAAGTTTGACAAAACCTTGTGACAAGACCGAGAATCTTTTTTTAAATAAATAAATGGTATTCGATTTTTAAAACCAAGGAGTTTTCAATTAAAAAGATTTTAATATGACAGGAACAGTGGAAATATTCCATTCCCGATACTTTTAGTGCAGCCTAGTAGTAACGGGTGATTTCTGGATCTCGACAATAGCGCCACCTACCGGGTGCAATTGTGGATCTAAACCGTCCAGGAACCCATTTAAACACAAAATTACATCATAATTGGTAGAGTCCTTTTTGAGTTTTAGTGATACTAATGAACTGCAATTGATTTTTATATATAGAGAAGATTTATATGATAATTAGTATTAGATTTTGAATTATGGAGGAGAGGGAGGGGGAATCCGTAGGTAACCTACCTCAAATTGGTTTGTGTAATTAACTCGCGCTGTGCGAAGCAACGGTGCATTTTGATTCCTACTATCAAGTCGATTTTACGCTTGTGTACCTTATTCCATTCCAATTACGGGTTATGTGTGTGCGTGTTAAAATTCCTGCAATTAGTCCACTCCCATTGTGCGTGTTTTCGGCTGGAAGTGTCTCAGTTATGGCATTGATCTTATGGGAATTGAAAGCAGCTCAGCTACTAGGTATCCCGGACTGCTCGCATTATTTATATACAACTTGCACTAGATGGCACTGATTGTAACTGATGGCATATTTTAATAATACATATTTCTTTAAATGTTTGCTTGTTTAAATAAATTAATTTAATGATTTCTTATATTTATGCAAATACTGCACATTAAATGAAATTACTTTTTTTTTTTAAATTTTATCTAGAACAGTAGTGGCGGCGTAAAAGAATCCACTTCTTCATATTATACTGGGGTTTCGTAAGAGGCGACAGAGGGAAACTAAAACAGTAGATGGGTAGAATCACCTTGCTAATAACAATTTAAAATATGTAATAAAATACTGTGGATGCCAACCCGCTTGTCTTTAACTATCTTAAGTTCAGTAGTGGACTTGGGATAGTTGGTCATGATGATCATGATGATATAACATAGATTTCAAATTTAGGCTAAGAAAATTAATGTAATGCTAAATGAAAAAATAATGTGATGCTAAAAAGATCACCATTTCTTATCATACGTTATTATTTAATTTACGACATTCTATTTGATTATTGATTTTGTTCAATATTGTAGGTTAAATAGTTTATGAAGTCTTAAAAGGTGCACCTTTAGAAATGAAAGTTAGATCCTATCCTAACATAATATATTAATTATATCAAGACAAATCTACAACTCAGTTCAGAAGTAAACAACAAGTCATATGGCTATAATTTTATTTATCATATATTTTTACAGAATAATGGTAAGAATGCAGGCAAATCAATGCACCAACCTTCGATCTCGATTACTCCGCTACCACGTCAGCCGCAGCCCGTGCAGCCTCAACCTTCGCATCAAAATAAGAGCTCCTTCGTCATCTGCGAGATCTGCGATGGTTACATTAAGGACCTCGAACAGCTCCGTAATCACATGCAATGGATACACAAAGTGAAGATACACCCAAAGATGATCTACAACAGGCCTCCGCTTAATTGCCAGAAGTGTCAATTCAGGTTAGTTGTTTTGATGTTGCTTTGATGTGATGTGATGGTTTTATTTTAATACACTATTATTTTATTATTCCTACCCGCCCTGAACCTTTTATTATTATTACAATTGCCTAGATATACAGCCGTTATGATTGTGTAATGTGTACGAATTATCATCAACATGATAAATAAAACAAAAACATACAGACAGCTATGATGATCCTACTTATATTGTATCTTTTTTTACTTATTATAAGCCAGTATTTGACTAAAATCCTACCTGATGGTAAGAGCTGATGAAGACCTAGATGGTAAATCGCACTGTTTAAGCCTATTAACTCGTAACACTCTTGCCTTAGAGAAGCCCAGTTTGTATTTGGACAGAAAGACAGACGTCGGAAAATTACCGTTGCTGTTGCATTACGAAAAAAAAGCAAACCGTTTGGTTCAAATGCGTGGGATATCGGCAACAAAGTTGTGTGTGAGACCCGCCGACCGTCCGATGTTCCGGTTGTCCAATGGTGGATTTATTTAACCCCTCAGTTCCCTTAAAATTGTCATGCAGTCGCATGTGCCTGGCAAATCCCAAGTGGTCGCATGCTTAGGCACCCACCCGCAGCACTTACAACATTAAAACTTATATTTTGAGACTACTTTTCTATGAAGAAGTTTAGCATTATAAAATCTATACAAAATTCTCTACATAAAAGTCAGGTTTTAGTTCATTACAAAAATACTATTGTATTTTGATAACAAAAACAAAACATACCAAGCGAATGCCGGCAGCGTGAAGATCACAATATATATTACTCGAAATTATTTACGTAAAGAGATAAATTATACTCACGCAAAAACTATCCTTACAATTTTTTAATGAAACACTATACTAAAACACTAATACAACACTAGAAAAATTAAAAAATCAACACAATAACATTCACGTGAAAATGGCGTACGAAATAAACGTAGATTATAAATATATATAAATAAATATTCATAGGATAACAGTTTTTTTATTGCACTAGAGGATAGAGTATTTCATATTGATTATATAATGCCAAACTTCTTCATAGAAAAAGAGGTCTCTTCTCTATATAAGTTTTTATGGGTTAAAGTGCTGTGGGTGGGTGTGACCTCATGAGACCGCTAGGGATTTGACGGAATATGGCCGCGTTCTCATGAGACCGCTTGGGGGATGAGAGGTTAAAACTTTGGTTCCAGTGAGGAATCTAAGTTTTAAATAAAGTCTGTCAGGTTTTGGCAAAGGTAACAGGGAAATACGAATTAATGACTTCTATAGGTATTAAAAGATACACGCTAAATCACAGATATTACAATTTTACCCTCAACTTTATCAAATAATATTAGGTATGATCAGTGCAAACTGCAGTTTTCTTAAGCCCTATTCATGGAGGATTAAGCAACAGCACAACAGCAATAGATAGATCTGTAAAAAATATACTCTTTAAATGTTTTGCCAACTACACTTCTTAAGCTTTTAATATAATTTACAGGTTCTTCACTGATCAAGGTCTTGAGAGACACCTTCTGGGCTGTCACGGACTGGTCACTAGTTCCATGCAAGAAGCTGCCAACAAAGGAAAAGATGCTGGGAGGTGTCCAGTATGTGGACGGGTAAGATTCAAAATGTTATTTATGTTATTCACTTTGTATTATAAGATGTGTTTGGATGTATATAATATTATTATTATACTATATACATGCAAAAACACATTTTATTCATAAAAATACCTAGTGTATTTATAACAATCCATTATTGCAGTGCTTCAATGGCACTGACCTCTATATATGCAAGTACGCTGGACTGGCTATAAACTGTGATATGTTGAGGCAATTTGATTTGCGCCATTTTGGCGCTGACATAAGAAGTGAATGTCCACAGAACTAATAATAGAGATAAGACACAGAGTGTGACAAAATATATCGATGAAAATTCTATACCCTACCTATACCTAAAGAAATAGAATGGACTCAACGGATAGATGGCCTCTACCCATAATGTCCATTCTATTTATGTATCATATTAATATAATATTATCATTTATCATCAATTAAAGTTCTTCACAAGTTCCATTGCAGAACATAGGCTGCTCCCAATCAATGCCACAGAGCATGGTCCTGATCCACCTGCATCCATCAACTTCCTGCATGTCTTCCAAGTTGTCACTCCATCTAGTGGGAGGACATACTACACTTCACCTGCCGGTACGAGGCTGCCACTTGAAAACCTTTCTTCCCCATTGGTTATTGGTTTTTTGAGCTATATGGCCGGTCCATTGCAACTTCAGCTTACTAAACCATTGGGCGATGTCGGTCACTGGTTCTACTGTGTATATCCTTATTCCTAAGTTTATCGCGCGAAAAAACCCTGAGCGTAGCCCTCTTCATAGCTTGCTGAGTGACTTCGAGGACCACATCTCAGATCCATAGGTCATCACTGGCAACACGCACTGGTTGTACAATCTAGTTTTGAGGTATGCTTGACGAGATGATGTGTTATAATCTCCCGAACGCTGCCCAGCCGAGTTTTTTTTATAGGAGATGGGGAAACGAGCATACGGCTCACCTGATGGTAAGTGATTACCGCAGCTCATGAACAGCTGCAACACCAGGGGGGATTGCAGATGTGTTGCCGGCCTTTTAAAAAGGAAGTTTAGTTTAGTTAATTTAGTTTACGACGGGCTGTTTTCCGCAACTCCACTTCAAAGCGCGTATTATGCATGTGGGCAGGAATAATATGATTATTCGAGCCATGATATCTCCCCAAAGAAGCTCAGCAGTCCCTTGGAAGCAACTTCGGGCAGCGATATTCGAGCCATGATATCTCCCCAAAGAAGCTCAGCAGTCCCTTGGAAGCAACTTCGGGCAGCGATCCCGGCGTGCCGTGATGTTTAGTCCTGTATGAAGTGACTTCTGCACATGTCAGCAACACGTGAGCCGCCGTTTCTTCCTCTCCCATGCATGCCCTGCACAGGGGTCTATCAGTAACACCTATGGTGAACAAATGTTTGTTAAAAGAGCCATGTCTTGTGATAGCACTTGTCACTATCCTGATCTGTGGCTTGTTCAGTCTCATTAGAACCTTGGTTAGACAACTGTTTATTTCAGGTAGGGCCTCCCTAGCTTGTCTACAGTCTACTAAATTTTTCCAAAGCTGAGCTTGTAAATTATTGAAGTATCTATGTACCAGTGAACGAGCGTAGCCAAAGGGGATTGGTATTATTGGCTCTTTTTTTGAAGGTCCCTAAGTCGTATCGGCCCGCAAAAATCTTAAATCTTTCTTTTAAATCGCTTAGTAGTGGACTGTCGGTCATCCAGATGGTATGGATGGTAAAAAGTTGAATCCGTAGATTGACCTCTCAGTCGAAGTTGGATTTACCTAGTTGGACTATTTGTCCCAGGTAAACATACTCGTCAACAACTTCAGCTAAGTGCTCCCAAAAACCACTGGCATAGGTGTGACATGGACATTACACATGACTTTTGTTTTGTCCATGTTCTGGACGTAACGAGCATAGTGCTTAGGTCTTCCAGCGATTATGCCATAAGGACTATAACATTGGTAAATCGAAGTTGAGTGACGTACACGCCATTGACGTTAATACCGTATCCTTTCCAGTCCAGTAACTTGAAAACGTCTTCCAATGCAGCAGTAAAGCATTTCGGGGATATTACATCACCCTGTCTTACACTTCTCTACAGTTGGGTAGGTTTTCGTATTCTGGTTCTGTATTGGGATAGCCATCGTAGCCCTTAGACCATTAATCCCAAGTAGCCCTACTATACAAACACATCAGCACTTAGATATACCTACACTCAACTTCGCACCGCCGATGAGAACTGCAGCACCGCCCAAATTTCAACAGAGTCAAAGGCCTTCTTACGAGGGGTGATCCAAAAGTAATCATAATGAAAATAAAACACGGTAATTAAAGTTAAAATAATAATTTATTTTTCTACATAGTCTCCTAACAAATCAATACATTTAGTCCATCTTTTTTCTAAACTCAGAATTCCCTTTGAAAAAAATTCTTTGTCAAGACCCTCCCAAAACGCTTCAACAGCGGCCATTACTTCGCTATCGTCTTCGAATTTCTTGCCTCGGAGGCGTTCCTTGAGCCGAGGAAAGAGGTAGAAGTCACTAGGAGCTAGATCTGGCGAATAGGGAGGGTGTTCGAGCAGTTCGAATCCCGTTTCTTGAATGGCAGCCATCGCAACTGCGGCTTTGTGAGCCGGTGCGTTGTCTTGGTGAAACAGCACTCCAGCTCGCAGTTTGCCGCGTCTTTTTTCCTTAATGGCCTCCCGTAATCTTCTTATTTGGTCTGCGTAGTAAGAGCCCGTAATAGTGGCTCCCTTTTCCAAATATTCCACCATAATTATGCCTTGAGCGTCCCAAAAAACAGATTCCATAACCTTTCCCGCCGAACTTGATACTTTGAAATTCTTTGGCGTCGGTGAGGAGGCTCTCTTCCAAGTCATCGATTGTTGTTTCGTTTCAGGATCAAAATGGTGGATTCAGGTCTCGTCCATAGTCACAAAACGGAAAAAATTTTTCTTGATCTGCTTGGAACTTTTCGAGATTGACCCTCGAAATGTCAACTCGATTTTTCTTTTGCTCGTCGGTTAACATTCTGGGTACCCAACGCGCAGACCTTTTTCATATGCAACTCGTTCGCAAGGATTCTTTGAACGCTGCCATATGAGATCCCTGTGACCTCAGCTACATGCCTGATGGTCACTCTTCGATCTGCCAACACAACATCTTCGACTTTTTTCACATTGTCTTCAGTAAGGGACGTGAATGAGCGTCCTTCGCGATGTTCATCTTCAGTGGATGTTCTGCCCAGTTTAAACTCCTTGGCCCAGCATGCAACTGTAAAATATGGAGGAGCAGAGTCCCCCAAAGTTTCTACTAAGTCACTGTGTATGTCTTTGAAGACATTTTTTTCAAACAGAGGTACTTGATGACAGCTCTAATTTCGTTTTTCTCCATGTTGATATTATCTTTTTAACAGTTCGTATTCAAATGAATGTATCTCCCGGAAATCGTGATCTATTTATATGATTTTTTTAGGCTGACGTAGTGAGTATATAAGGAAGCAAAAAATTTTTTTTTTGGATTTTTATGCGGACCTGAAGTAACCGATTTTCATTACTTTTGGATCACCCCTCGTATAGTCCACATACGCGAGACAAAGTGGCCTCTAACACCACCTGCACTAGACTCCCTGAGTCCGATATGTGAATGGAGCCAGGAAAAAAAGACCACTTGAAGGCATCAAGTGGTGCAAGCTCACCAAAGTTGCGGAGGATAGCATGGCGCATCGCCAATAGCCATATCAACACTCCTCTTCCCTTACGACTCCACCTCGACTTCAGTGGTACAGGGAGAAGAATTTCCTCTAGCCGCAGCCCACTAACACACATCCAATGTGGCTCGACGTCATCAGGCGACCTTTCACACTTGGCCACGGTTCTTGAGTTTGGGGGTAAATGAGAAGAGAAGAAATAAAAAAAAAAACATTCAAAATAATAATTTAATACTTTCATACTTACTGGTACTGGTATTACCAGAAAATATTGTCGGTATGCTGCACTTTTTCAAAGTGGTGCAGTTCTCATGACTAATAAAACAGTCGACTGTGAAATGTTTACAACAAAGATGATCATTTTGTTTCTGACGCCAAATCACAGTATTTACGCTTTTAAGATTTTAATTTTAGTCTAGGTTCAGTTGGAAACCTGGAAATTAAGAAATATTTGATAATTATCTGTTGTTGGCAACTTTGTTTGTTAATAGTTATGGGTAGGAAAGTCACAAAACTCAGTAATATACAGCCAAACATGTTGCATGTTGCAATTATGATATTAAGATTAGTAACAAACTTTAAGTATCTATAAGTTAAGTATTAGCTGCAAATTCACTTAATTGTGGAATGTTATACCACTTTCCTCTTGGTAACGAGTTTTACAGATTACGCACACTCAATATTATTAACAATAATTCTTATTATGTAATTAAAATTATACGCAATCAAACAACATAAAATACTTTCGTTTTCTAGTTTAAAAGTTGAAAATACAGATTTTTTAAATAAGACAACAGACTGGAATATTATGTCAATTTTAGTTCTCAAGAGGACAAGTAGTGGTGCTTCAAATTGGCACAGATATTTTGTATGGTATAGCCAGTCCAGTGTACTTGTATTTATAGAGGTCAGTGTTCAATGGTAATTTGACTAACCTTATGCAAGTTTCACTTATTTTATAATTTCTCAGTTTTAGTTCATATAAGTAAGTGTGAATATTTAACATATCTTAAGTTTTACAATTACAATTTAACTTAAAATAATGAAAATTCAATGTAAAATTTCCTATAATTACATGATATCATAAAGATTCCTTGTAGTAAGATTTTTAGGATAAAACTTTCTTTAATTTCCTACTCCTCCTAACACATATACAGTGTCAAAGCCATGAATGATTCATGTCCCATAATAAACCCAAAATATAATGCTCTACTACATGTGTCGTCGTGGTTTTGTGCTGAAGATTATTTGCAGAACAGTTTTTTTTATTGACCTATGAATTTCCTTTTTGCACAATAACTATAAAACTTGAGATAAACAGGAGAGCTCTGCCCATTAGTGCAGGGCTTAAGAAATTTAAGAGTGCAAAGTATTAACATGCTATTTTGTATACTTTATCATTTCATATTATTGGTTTTGTATAGTTCATTTAAAAAACACTGCAACGCAGGCAATGTTACTAAGAAAAAAACGACGCCAATAATTGAAAGGGCAGTAACAAAAATTGTATTTAAAATTATACATTATAAATTGAAAATTGTGTTTTTATATGATGAAATTTAATAGTTAGTCAACAGTACAGTATTACTGAATAAAAGTTATGGTCATTGTTTATGCAAAGAGCCCAATTTTAAAATGGATTTTTAGAATAAAATAATAGCCATCAATAACATTTTAATTATTAAAGAATTTTTTTAAAGTTTCAATTTATATTAGAACACAGGTGACAAGTGAGCACATTCCACCTGATGTTTAATGGATAAAATGCCTTGTTTGCATTAAAAAGGGTCTAAGTCTCTACACTCATCATACAAAACAGCAGCATTGAGTTGTTATTTTAAGCGGGTATTATGAGAGGGTGTTTTTCTTCATCTGTCGAGCTGACCCATTTTAACCAATAAAATTTTATATATACACATATTTTTGCAATTACATTGTCTCATAACTGCTATTTATTAATCATCTTGAATTATTTTCCAGGTATACCAGTGGAAGTTGCTGAATCATGTAGCCAGAGACCATAACTTAACACTGAAGCCAGCTCACTTATCATACAAGTGCACAGTTTGCACTGCCACCTTTGGCATGTACAAACAGTTTGAGAACCATGTCTATTCTGCACACAGTGTAGTTGCCAAGCGTGTGATGGACAAAGGCAAGGTCGCCCCTAACAAGTCTAATGACTCCTTGCTCAAACCCCTTAAGATAAATGATGAGATCACTATCATACCCCAGCCTGCGAAGCCTGCTGCGCCTGTCAAGGATAAATAAGGTAAAGCAATGTTTGAACTTAAACAAATGTGATGATAATGAAAATGTGATAATTGTTAAATGTTGTATGTAATTTTTAGATGTGCGAATGAAATTTTATTTGTTGTCAATGTTAATATTTTATTTTTTGTGCTAACTGAGCACTTGCATAATCCACATAACTTCTTTAGCGGTATAAAAATAGCGAATTTTTTTGCAATATAATTGTTAACAGTCCTTGATGGTAAGTGGCTATTGCAGCACTCGCCAATTTGCGAACAACTTCAAATTGACGGCTTCGTGGCGCAGTGCCTTAACAATGAGTGACGACGCTGTGGGTCGCGGGTTCGAATCCCGCACGGAACAAGTATTTGTATGACCTACAAGTAATTGTTCTGGAGCTGAGATCTTTATCCTTGCTTAAAATTAATTATGTGAACTGTCTCTAAAATACAGGAGAAAATCTTAGTCTGGGGTAACATTATTTAAAAAAAATTAAATTAAGAAAGCACACAGGTGCATTTTTACCTCTGAGGACTACTAAGATGGGTATGCCTCATAAACTTCATTATGACGATAATGAAAATAAAACAGCCATTGTCAGGTCACTTGTGTTTTGACTGCGTTCGAAGCTTTCCTTAGCTTGGTTCATCAGCTTACCTTTTAACAAGGGCTGTAATGATAATGACGATGATGATAGTGATGATAAAGATGATGCAATTTTCTTCAAATTTTATCACGTCAGTGCAAGATTGAAGGATGAAATCTATTTTTGTTTGTTAATATAATTAAAGTCTAATCAGTCAGAATAATTTGCTTGTGAAAATAAACTAAGTAAACAGATGAAAGAGAATGGGATGTTTTAATAAATAAAATGTTAAAAGTGGTCTTAGGAAGTGCGATTGCGAATTTCTGAGATTGTGCTAAATATTGAGATAACAGTTTCTTTTTATTAGCGATGTGTTTTCATTTACATATAAAACTTTTACTTTTTTGTTTTTGTTTTGAATAAAACTATTTTTAACGATTTCATTTGATGTGTAGTGTTCATGTAAATATAAGAAATCATTTGTTTGTTTTGTTTAATACCCTGATTTATTTCACAAAACCTAGACTTTTTAAAGTTCTTAAACTTTAGCAAAATAAGACATAAATTAGGTTTTAAATATGAGAACTTTGAACTACAATGCACTTGTCTTACCAACAAATTTAGCTCTGGCCATAGAGACCTGTGGCTAAAATTACATTTAAAAAATATGCTAGATTCAAATCCAGAGAGAAATAATCATTGTGATGGTGTTGCATTTAAGATTAACAATCTGCCTGAATATGGTCAACCCTTATCTAAATCTTTTATAAAAATATCTGATCTTAGAATGGAAGCCTGTGACTATTTATTAAAAAGATTAAAATTATCGCAGTGAGCTTAAGAATAGAGAAGTAAGACTGAAGCTATACAGCTGAAAAATAATTCTTATAATGCAATATTTTATTCGGTGTTTTGGAGAATAATTTTTGCTGAAGCGATTACTAACTAGCCCTAGCAGTACTTGCAATATGCTTGACTTTATTGAGTTAAACTAATTTTATTTTAAACTTATTTTATAAGCTTCATTTTTTTATAGAATAGAGTAAGGGTGACAAACAATCCACTTGATAGTAAGTAGATACCGTGGCCCATAGACATCTACATTCATCCTCGATTAAGAATCAAAATGCAGATGCATTGTCACACCTGAGCACTAAGAATAAATACCATATTTAGTTTCGCTTTATATTTATTCAATGTGTAGTGATGTGACATATAAGAAATCATAACTTTATATATTGCTTAATAAGTGTTGCAGCAAGTTTGGTAATATCAATCATATATGTATATAATATGTGTAGCTATTGCTAGCCTAGATGTTATAATTATTTATTAACTAAGATCTTTTGTAGTTGTAGTCTTTGTACATGTTTCTACATAATTCTCTATTGTTACAAGTCTTATTATGCTTGGCAGTCGGAACTTTGTTCAAACTCATCACATTTTAAAGTATTCTATCCGATTTAATGTATTTTATTTATTTGCACTTGGTATATAATGTTTTGTTATAATATACTTATGAGTCGAAGATCTATGATACCGTTGCTGTTAGAGCCTATCAAAAGTCCACAGCTGAACGAAGGATGTTTGCCATAGTTGCCACCATTGACAGCGGGGTTGGTAACCAAAGTTTTTAATTTGTTAGTTGTTATACAACACTGCTGGCCATATCCTGGTTTTGAATTCCATCTGTCGCCTCATACGACGCCCACGAGACGATATGGGGTAGTGGATATTCTTTCATTGCCACTGCAGTGGTCAACAGTCCACTAAGATAAATTACATCCTATATATGTCACATTGCCAGGCTCAGGTTTGTGATGTATGCACAATATAGCCTTAAATATTATATGACAGCATATCCTAAGCATGTGGCGCGATGCTTCCGCTGTGGCACCGTATAAAAACTGCGAAAACAATTATCTGATACTTTAATTTGTTTGCAACCACTTTATTTTTGTTTATATGTCACAATTATAATTTTATTGTGAGTAATAAGTCATATTTTGTATTTGGAAGTTTGAAGATGGTTTTCTTTTTGGTGTGGTAGTGGAGATAGTTTTTTGTTTAGGAAATACGGGAGGAAAACTTTTATTATAACTGAGCCCTCTTTAAAAATTACAATTGGATAATCTAAATATATCTTACATAATTTTATCTAAGTTCAATAATATTTTTTACTATGTATTTATGTAACTGTACTGAGTATATAAATTCAATATTTAGTTATAAAACTATTTAAGGAAATCCATTGCAATGTTCACGAAGAATATCAGCTCTTTAAAAAACAATGTCAAGAGACTGGGTCAATATTATTTTAAATGTTGTAAAAATGTTAATATAAACTATAATAGCTGCAGTGTGGATCTACCACACTGCTGCAGCGTTATGGTTGTAGCATGAATGGTTCTTCTCGACCGGGGAAGGACCACACTCTCACAGAATATCAGCATAAAATAACAGCTTAATGCTGCTGTATTTCATATGGTGAGTGTTGAAAACCAGAGATCCGTTTTACTGGAATCGAGGCATTCCATCTTAGTCCTCAAGTGTGACAATGCATCTGCATTTTGATTCTTAAGCGAGGTTAAATGTAGATGTCCATGAGCCACAGTATCCACTTATCATCAGGTGGACTGTGTGGTCCTTTGTCACCCTTATCCTATTAAACAAAAATATTGTACCTAATAAAATGATTGATCTATCCATCCATTAAAAGTCCACTGCTGAATATAGGCGACCCCACTGATTGCCTAATAGGGGGCATTTTGCCATAGTTGCCACACTTGGAAGGTGGTTTTGTAACTGCAGTTTTCATAGCTTTGAGTTGTCATCAGGAAGATGCTGATGCCCTTTTCCTGTTTTAGTTTCACGCTATTGATTCTTATGACGCCCATCGACGATATGGTGTAGTGGATCTTTCACCACTGCATATATACATTATTGTTAGAATTCAACTTTCAAAAGTCATCTGGATGTCCGTTATATTGTGATGTGTGATAAAGAAACCTTGTTGCAGAAGCTGTTGCGCTGAACGGGAGCACCCTCGAGCCAAAAGCCGAAGCTACGTCTTTTAGGGTACATTCCAATACCATTGTTCCTGTCCACCACGGGGATAAAACTTATGTGTACAACGTGATGTTGTCGATATACATTTATTCACTAATCAGCGCCATCAACGAATGACTACTACAATTGTAAAATAATCAATAAGAGCAATAAGTGTGTATTATGCTATTGTTATACTATTAGGTACTTTTTGAGATTTGATTAAAATTTATGGAGGTTACTAAGTCAACACCTAGATAATGATAATATTTAAAGCAATTTATACTGGCAGTTTATTCAAATAAAAATTTTCTGACAGAGGAGTTACACTAGTGTTCCGTTAACTAAGACCATAATTATGGGTAACGCTGAACTGATTGTATTTGCCTTAGTGTTTGACACCATACAGTTAACTAACAAATGAACTAATTTTTGTTTATGAGGAGTTTTATATACAAAAGTTTAAAAATAACTGCTTTGTGTAAATGTTATTTCTCGGTGAATCATTATATATACAGTAAAATAACACCGTAATGTTTCTATAGTAAATCAAACTGTTTTATAGTCAAACTGTAATGTTTGGTACAAATTTTTAAGACAAAGTTATGGTTCCAGTTATGGTATTTGCAAACAATTTTACTATTGCAAATATTTTGAAAATGCTTATACTACATTGTAAAATACACTTTGCAATGCTCAAGCGCTAGTCTTTTAGACAAGGGTTGCTACTGCTTCCCTTCCGCAATGCTCTCGTAGCTACCACTGCCTTGGCTTCAGAGCCAGTGATATTTTTAGCCTTGGAATGTTTATAGACCATCCTGTGTTATTAGGTTAGGCTTACCGGACTGTGCACCGAACCAAGCCGACTAGAAAACCTCTTACCCAGAAGTAAAAGATTCTGTGTAATAATTATTAAATAAAGTAGAGTTATAGGAGCATCAATAAATGTGGAATAAATAAAAGTAATTCTAAATGACTACCTCGGTTAAAGTCTGTTCAAGTATAAAATTTTATTAATATAGCAAAGCAATAATTTTATATATTGTAGATATAAGTCTCTGTTGCCTTTGTATTTATTGTCAATGACGGAACTACTCAAGCTGTAGCTGCGTCAGTATGGTCCGGTCTGCAGTCCTATGCAGCAAGTAATAACAAAAGCTAATGTACAAAAAGCAAAGTTGCATTTGTTGTCTTTTCAGATTATGTTAACAAAATTAAATTTTTGAAACTAAAAACCACATAGTCATACAGATTATGGTTTTTGTGTTAATATTGGAAATGAGATTACTTATAATTATTTACGTGTAGCCTCCACAAATAACTAATCGCAAGCGCCATCTCTTGCCGCAACGATGCAAATTTGCTAAGGTTGTAACGAAGTAAATTTAAGAGTGCATACAAATCCAGAAATCAATCAGAAAAAAAAATCAGGTTTGACCATTCATCTCGAATCAATCATTTTACATATTATTTTATTCTCTTGTAAGCATCAAATTATGCATGGAGGTAGATTCAGATTGAGATGGAAGACTGTGTTGTGTAACAAAAATGTATTTATATGTAATGTATGCGTCAAAATGATTTCAATTTAATATCACTATCACACAATAATTAAAAATAATGAATTTTAAAAATAAATAATTAATAAATACTTAGTAACAACAAACAATCAGTTGTTAGTGATTGTATATAATCATGTAAATCATGTAATTATTATCTCTACCAATAAAAAGGTTCTCCGCGTCTCTACATTCATCTATATTTGGTTTCATCTTGGATGAGCCATCACATTCGTGCCACAACCATATATAGATGCAGTATGGCTCTATCACCTAAAAAAGTTTATCCTTAGATATTGTTTTCGGTTTGGACTTTATAGTATATATTCAAAGTCAATTATACTCTGTATGAGTTTGCTTTATATGCAGCCTTAAGGAATTTTAATGTGGAAACATTTATCTGTCTACCTCAGACGTTCAAAATTTGTAGCTTCAATATAAAATATGAACGAGATTCCGATAAAGCTGTCTAAATTTAAAACAAGGGTTTAAGCGTCATAAACTGCCTCCTTTTAAATTAAGAAAGTGTATAATATGTGTTATGGATCAAGTGGTTGATATGGCATTATTCATAATGCCCAATATGAGTATGCAATGTGATAAATTGACCGGGCTTTGTGGAGTAAGTCCGTTACTTATTGAAGAATAAGTAGAATTCACATTCACAATTTCATTGCAAACTTTGCAATTCATTCATTTCTATGTCCTCTGTCACACTAACAGTAACAAAAAAGTTAAAATCATCATTTGCTGCTCATATGCTGATTTCTCTGAATGATTTAGTTTTATTTTTAGCTTTAGGTAAAGGCTTTGTCAGACAGGACGCGTATTTTAGCGCTGCGTAGTAGCGTTATAGCGTCCCGTTTTAACGTCGCGCGAGGGTTCGTCAAACAGAACGCTTTAGCGCGCGTTAGGGCGTTGACTCGATGACACGGCGCCGCCATTTCGCCATTCGCCAAAGCGTAGTGTAGATCGTTAGCAGTGTGAAGAGTTTGTTCGTTATGGAGATGTCGAGTGATTCAGATGTGGAAGAATTATTACTTTTATATGCTTTATCACGGTCACAGAGAAAAAGTGAGTACACGACATCAATCAAAAGAGAAAGGATTTAGGAGAATATCATCGTTTGTCTCGTGAGCTTGCATCACATGAAGATCGTTTTTTTACATACTTTCGTATGTCTCAAGATTTATTCGAAGAACTACATGAACTGCTCATCCCAAAAATAAGCAAATGTACCACAAACTGGAGGACGCCTATTTCTACAAGAGAAAGACTTGTAATCTGTCTAAGGTAAGAAATATTTATTTTTTTATATACATGTTCATTGCGTTATTATTATGAAAATCAATCAAAATCAGCTGAGTTGTAATCAGATGTCGATGCTCCAAAATTAGTTACATGTAGAATATCGATTTCGCGTAGTGGTTGACGTAGCTGCTCAGGCTGTTGCAGGTATGATGAAGTACTGTTAGATAAATCTATAACAGCTACTGGGGATGAATCTTCGGGCACAGAATTGGGTACTGCATAGCAGACGGAGTCTTCGGTACTAATAATGGAATAATGTGGTGAATTCAATATCTGGACGTTTTCGTGCAGTTCCTCTGTTTCTATACTTGCAAATAACTTGGCTAGTTCTACTTTGGCTTTTATCTGTTTGTCTTTGGGAAAAACTTTTAAATGTTTGGGCACAACTTTGGAATAGGTGACCTATGACATCATACTCTTGTTTTTTTTTTATTTTGAAGAAAATTTATAACTATCCATTTCGCTGTCAGTTTTTTTTATTTTCTTAGCTCGTGAACTATTTGTGTCATTTGTTTGGGGCGTCTCTAGCGGAGGTGTTTCTGGCGGGGGTGCGCTTTGTGTTCTTGGTGGAGGCGTCTCTGGAGATTGAGTTTCTATAGCTGACGATGTTTCTGGTGTAGGTTCTCGAATATTTGAAGTTGTTTCTCGATCTGTCAGAGTTGAGTCAAGGAACTGTAACTGGGAAGCCCAAGGCCATTTTGTAAATTTTTTTGCAGCTTGTCCTGTAGTACCTGCAACCTCTTTTTTGTATCTCATATAATTGTCCCTCAAGCTCTTCCATTTTTTTTAGCTACTTCACCTGTAAAATAAACATAAATTGTATTATTTTGTTTCAGGTACTTAGCTACGGGTGATTCACATCAGACCATAGCCTTTTCCTTCCGAGTAGGTCGTTCAACAGTCGGTGGTATTGTAAAAGAAGTCTGTACAGAAATCTGGAATACATTACAACCAGAATATACGCCATCGCCTACTGAAGAGACATGGAAACAATCAGAGAAGGGTTATAGGGAAACCTGGAACTTCCCGAATTGTGTCGGTAGTATTGACGGGAAACATGTCTCTATAAAGTGTCCCAAAAATAGTGGATCAGAATATTTTTGCTACTAGAAGTTTTTTTCTGTAGTTCTTCTTGCTATAGTCGATCCATGTTACAAATTCACCGTCATAGATGTCGGTAGTTACGGGCGGCATAGTGATAGTGGTATATTCGAGAACTCAATATTTTATCGGCAATATATCCACGGAAAATCTCTGCTGCCAGATAAACCTCTTCCAGGCACCGAGGAGCCCGTACCTCATGTACTTATCGGCGACGAAGGTTTTGCTTTAAAAACATATTTGATGCGTCCATTCCCAAGAGTCCATTCCCTTAGCTACACAAGACGAAAGAAAAACAAATTTTAATAAAAGACTGCAGGGCACGTCGGGTGGTCGAAAATACGTTCGGAATATTAGTACAAAAATGGCGCATTTTTTTACGACCTATTGACTGTGATGTGGACACAGCAATTGATATTATTAAAGCTGCATGTTGTTTACATAATTACTTACGAACAAAACAAGGTACAGCGATATTAACTCCGGAGTCGGAAGACGAAAACGTACCTATGCGTGCTCTAATAACTCATCGTCCAACAAATAGAAGATCAACGACTGCAGATCGTGAACAATTTGTGTCTTCTTTTAATCAATAAACGATTTTTTTTACTTACCAGTTTCATTAATTTCTTCTCCGATTTGTGCCCACAATTTTGCCTTCATTGATATATCTTTTTTATTTTTTTTATTTTTATTTATTTATTTTACCACTTACAACTATCATCACAGGTGTATTACCTAATACAATAGTGCAGTTACAAACTAATAAACTAGAACAAACATAATATAGGTATATTATGCACAACTTAAAGATATTTTACAATAAGCGGCTTTTGTGAATTCGTTCAGAGTACAGCTGAACAAATCAGTCTGTTGTGAGATCACGTTAAGTGCACGCAGCGCGCGCGTCAAAGGCGCGTGCTGTAGCAAGTTGGTGCGCGCTTGCGGCACCGACAAGAGCGGCGGCCGCCGCCGTATTCCTACGTACTCATTAGGGACACACAGCTCAGCTATCTGTAAAATACCTGGGTTATGTATTTTACCACGGATCACTTTTAGTAAGTAAGTGGCGAGAGCAACTTACCTTCTTATTTCTAGTTTATAATAGCCTATCATGCCTAGTATAAATAAAGTAGGGTACAAAAGTGGATAACCCGGGTACACACCATACTGTTTTAAATACATAAATCTCACAAATTTGTTCTGAATACGTTCTAGCATTAATTTATATTTGACTTCATGTGGTGACCAAACAACAGCATTGCATTCCAAATGACTTTTTACGAGTGCCTCGTATAATGCTCTCAGAGCACAGATGTTTGTGAATCTGTTGGCTAGCCGTAAGACCATCCCTAGGTTGCGGTATGCTTTTTTACAAACATTAGTAATGTGTTTTCGAAATTGTATGTCGGCAGTGAATCGCACGCCTAAATCATTAACCTCAAAAACTCGTTGCAGAGGGGTTCCATCCATATAGTATTGATGATGACTCGGGTTATGTGCACGGCTGAATATTTTATACGAACTATCCTTCGTATTATATAAGCATGGATATTTTCTAACCAATTCTATCAAATTTTCGGTCATTATGCAGTATTTTATTATTATTTTACTCCTATTCACTCCGACGCTAAAATAAAATTTGTAAAAAAATACAACACCCGACGTTAAAACGTCCTAACGCCGCGACAGAGCGTTGCGTGCTGCTAGCGTCGGCGCTCTGTTTGACGGTATTCTACGATGGTAGTACAACACATCTTAGCGTCATAGCGCGGCGTCAAGTTAATGCTCTGACGCGCGCTAAGTACGCGTCCTGTCTGACAAAGCCTTAACACGTTAACTGCCATGTCAGGCACCGGTGCTTGACAGACATGGCACCTGTTAAGGCCATGTCAGTCCCGGGTGACTGCCGCCACAGTATATAATTTAGATGATCTCAGGGCGCTGTCCGGCACGTTTAGCTCGTTATTATCTATTAAAATTGACTGACAAGGCCCTGGAAAAACTATGTTCAACTTGGCCTAACGTTTTTATATTTAGAACTGGATTTATTTAGGTTTTATTGGGAAAAATAAAATGCGACACAATGAAACTATAAAAACTTTTTATTGTTCGAAATAATCATATTTTGGGCTTATACAGCTTAGAAAATTATAAAAAAAAAATGCAATTTAGAGTAATGAAATGCAATTTAGAGTAGTGAAATGCAATTATCAGTCAAGGAGTCCAAGGGAAAGTTACATTGTTTTATGTTCCTCGTTGAAACAAGATAGGCAAAAATGTGGTTCTTTAGGGCATTGTGGGCAATAAGTATTCACTTGCAGCTTCTTTCTAGCATAATTTCTGTCTATTGTTTGAACATTTACTTTATAACATCGTGAACAGTACTTTCTAGATTTTTTTACAGGTCCTTCTTTCTTTTTAGCTCATGCTTTTGCCTCCTATTTCTTGTCAATGGCATGTCAGGATTACTGTTTTCTTTGCCCGACTCTGTTAGATTTTTGCACAACTTTTTCCTATATTCTACTATCCCTATTTTAGACTTCGTGGTTTCTTTATAAATTACGTAAGAATTGAGTAATGCAATGTTCAACAACAGTTCAACACCAAGTTTTCTGTACCATTTTACACTTTTTCTCAAAGGTGTTGAGTATGCGATCATCTGATCAGATAGGTCTACAGAAGATTTTGCGTTGTTATAATCGACTACAATTTTCGGTTTTATAATTTCTTTGTCTCTTTTTGCAAGTCCTTGTAAATCCAATAGAATGTTTCGTAGACAGTAAATAAACATCCCTTTTATCCTTCCATTTCATACATGTCATACCATCTTCATTTTCTTTAGCTCTAAACTCTCCTTTTTTTATCTTTCCGTTTATAACATCTTTAGGCAAATATTTTCTATTTTTACGTAAAGTGCCCACAAGATGCGTTTCTTTGTTCAACAATTTGCGTCCAAGATCAACGTATACCAGTTATCGGTATATAATGTATGACCTTTTTGAAGATATCCTTCCATAAGTGACATCACAACATTGGTTGGGGTTGTAGTTTCGGTCTCACTTCTCTTTCCCGCATATATTTGAATTCTATTAGCGTAGCCTGGATTAGTACATAATTTAAAAACTTTAATTCCATATTTGTGCCTCTTCAATTTGATATATTGTCGGAATATAATACGACCCCGAAATGGTACCAGAGACTCGTCAATACAGAGATTTTCTTGAGGATAGTAATATGTTTCAAAGTTGAGATTCAAAGTATTTACCAATTCACGTATTTTGAACAGACGGTCGCCATATCTTTGGTTATCATTGTTAGAAAAATGTATCATTCGTAACAAAATTTCAAACCTGTTACGAGACATAACCGTACGCGGGAAAGATTGACAAATCAGGGGGGTCTGTTGACCAATAATCAGCTAGCTTAGGCAATCTAACTATACCCATATATAAAATCAAACCAAAAAACCTTTCGATTACGTCTTGGTTTGTATCAGACCAACTAAGCAGTCGCGATCCTCGTTTTATTTGATTTTTTGAACTAAGTTTAGTAATTGTCTGAGTAGCAAATCGGTTGGTTTCCATAGCTATATCATGAAACACACTATCCGGAACTAACAAAGAATAAAAATCCTCTGGTTTGGATTTTGCCATCGTATTTCTCAAACTATAAGGTTTCAAACCAGGGTACTCTGTGAAAGGTATAATTCTTCTTTGCTTACCCGCTGGTTCATACCGTAAATCGCTCTCAAGCCTTGTGCTAACCTGCTGTTCTGGGTTTTCATCTTCGTCACCACTTTCTATCACATACCGCCTCTTTCTGTTTTCTCGCCTATGCAAAATTACTTCTGTATCGTCACATATTTCACTACAACATGGAATTTCTAAAAGCGGGGAATCTCTCTGAGTCAGTTGTTTTTCTAGTTCGTCAATTGCTTGCAGATCTACCAACGATAATTCAAAATCACACGTATTATCAATAATGGACATGATTACAATAGCTATCGTCACACAAAATCTCCAAAAACACAAAAAAACTAGAGCAATGGGTGCGTGCACTTCCGCAGATAATTCGAAGCGACTAAATAAACACTCTAGGTACACATCCCATGGCACGCGCCGGACGGGTTGCAACCTGCAAGGAATGAACTACGACACGCGTAGGTACTTTTGTTCAAACGGCCGAGCGCCGCACCGAGTAATTTCCCGCGCAAATAAATTGGCGGCCGGCGGACGGTGCCTGACAAAATACTTGACATGGCCCAATAGCTATGTTTTGTTTCGTTTGGGCCTCGTCAGGCACATATGCCAGACATTTTATTTTTTTGCTTTATTTTATATTATAATCACCGGAAACAAATTAAAATAGTCATATAATGTGATTTACTTGAGTATACAACCAAAAAACAATAATAAAAAAACGTCATCAAAATTTTACAATGGCAGTTAACGTGTTAAAATGATTTATTATTGAAAATCTTGATTTCTTTGTGATGTCCATAGCTTTTCTTTTTTTTGTTGAATGTTTTAACAGAAGCTTTTGTCAATCAAAGCTTGGTTGTTTATTTCTCTTCTTTAACTAAATTCTTTTTATCATAGATGAGTTCGGTAGTAAGTTGTACCTACACACCGACAATTTCGCCGCTACGCGAATTACAAAGGAAAAAAATCAAGATTTTCAATAATAAATCATTTTGCCTAAAGCAAAAAAAAAACTAAATTATTCAGAGAAATCAGCATATGAGCAGCAAATGATGATTTTAACTTTTTTGTAACTGTTAGTGTGACAGAGGACATAGAAATGAATGAATTGCAAAGTTTGCAATGAAATTGTGAATGTGAATTCTGCTTATTCTTCAATAAGTAACGGACTTACTCCACAAAGCCCGGTCAATTTATCACATTGCATACTCATATTGGGCATTATGAATAATGCCATATCAACCACTTGATCCATAACACATATTATACACTTTCTCAATTTAAAAGAAGGCAGTTTATGACGCTTAAACCCTTGTTTTAAATTTAGACAGCTTTATGGGAATCTCGTTCATATTGAGTGATAAGGTGCGACGGCTTTAGTGTAGTTTTAAATCGGGCATTCTCGGTTTTAGTTGCGAGACTGCACTGCGGGGATCATCTTAAATATCCTCTTCGCTTAGAAGTTACGGTTAAAATTGGATAAACAGAGACATGGATACTCTTGTTGATAATTGTAACAACTGGATGTGATGGTCATGACGGTTTTCTTGTGTCGTCTTATTCCTAGATATAAACTCCGTCGAATGTTCATGAGAAGTTACAATCGTTGCTATGTTAAACATTCAAAAAGTGCGTTATACAATTTTACTTATTAATTTTTTTGGGGTAAAAATTAGTTGTTGGTCTGGTATTGAATACAGTTTCATTTGAACTTGTCTCTTCCATGTTACAAATTGGCTGCTTTCTTGGGTTTCATATATCCATTTTAAGATATTTTCTTTCAGAAAATTTTTCGTTTTCGTTGCACCCTTGTAGTTGTAGAAATTATTTAATTTTTTTACTTGACTGCGCAAAGCAGTGTTATAAATGCTTTTCACGCAATGTAACAATGTGTGTGGGATTTTTTATATCTTCAAAGCTTATTTCTTTTAGTAAATGGGGTGTTAATTACGAAATTGCGGTTCATTTCTTCCGCTATTTTGTATTAATTATTTTACAGCCATAAACTCTATTTAAGAATCACACAAGCAGAAAGTTGTGTAGGATCTCCTATTATTCGTTTTAAGTTAAGTCAGTGGGTTGTTTTTGGATTCTAAATAATAATTTATTTGGTTTGGTTGGTTTTATTTCTGATTTTAAAATATTTTCCCCTTTTTAATACCATATATAAGGGCCCACATTGTCAAAATGAAAATTGTCAATTGTAAATATGGCACGCAGTTGTATTTTCCTTTACGACATTTACTGTTTGTAGTCAAACTAGAAATGAAGTTACATTCTTATCTGAATAATCTTCAAATCACGTTGACAAAACGCACATAAATAATGACAGTGGTTTTATATCATCAGTGTTAGATTGTCGAAAACAACGTTCGGTTAACATAATAAAGGACTTGTCTTTTCTCTTTTTTTTTGCGCCCGAAGCAAATATGGGCAACCCTCCGGAAAGCGGGGGAGGGAGGTTGGGAATGCTCATAGCATACCGCGCAGCCGGCTGCGTGGTTATGTGGTGACTTTTACCCACTAAACCCAACCTTTTAGGAATTGACTTAACGATCTGACTAGAGATCTCTAAGCCGTATACGAACGCGACCCTCCTTGGCAGAAAGGAGGGCGCAGTGTCTTTTCACCCGCTCGCAGTTGACTATGGGACTTACGGAGAAATGACCATGATTTAGTGCGCATTGTATCAATTCGTGGTGTATACATTTAAGTCTGTATTTGATTGTTCGTTAAGTTTTGGCAGTGTGCGTGCTTCGTGTTGATTAATGGATCTTTATGCGCTCGCATATTTTTAATACGTATATAAAGTGGCAATGCCAGAATATTTTTTTGTGTAAAATGTAAAGCCCATGTGCATCGATGTTATAATCTTCCAGTGCCATTGTATATCAACGAATTATGCATCTGAGGTGGCTTGTTGTGCCACTAAATTGACAAATCAATAGTTATATCTTTGCGGTGGTATTGGTTAATAATGTATTTACTTTATACGTAAATATAAACCGTGTGGTTTGCATTCAGCCATGTTTCATACAGGGACACCACTTTATCCCAATTATTATCAATATCTATCACTTTTCGTAAAAAAATCAATGCGTGCAAGAGCAATGTCGTTACGTTCCATAATATTTTTTTCTTTTGTTACTCTTTTTGTAATAAAATCCATTTTTTAAAAAAATATTGTTGATAAAGATGGTAGGCTCCCATTGAACAAATTTGCATCTTTCTGAGAAACTGTTAATTGACGTATAAAATAAATAATCCGTAACAGATTTTCTATTTTTTATTTTTTTTCTTAAGTTTATAATATTACGGATTTATGAATATATCTCTAATGTCCGATTTCTCTATACAAGAAATGTTTCGTTACCCGCAATAATCATTCATTTAACAACTAAGAAAGGCTTAAAATGTAAAAAAAAGTAAACGGTTTGCAAATAGTTTAACAACTGATATTTATTTAAAAAAGGAGTTTTCATGCAATTCTTTTACCGTATAATGGCTCGTAAAAGAAAACGAAGCGTTTTTAAAAACAGAGGCATAAGAGATCTGTTTGCATTCATAATTAACAATACCTTACTAGTTAATATTTAACGAATTAATATATGCGCTTAATGCGGCTTGATTTTGAATATTCTCATAAATACTGATGTTATGTGATTGCTGTTACAAAATAAATATCATAGTTAATCAGTGAAACGTAATGTTGTCAAGTCTAGATTTTTAATAAATGAAGTAGGGTCACCCGAGGCAAGTGTGACAGTAGTGCAAGCGTAACAAATGCGAATTATGCGGCCTAAACACGGTTAATAATTCCATCTATTTAAACAACACAGGAAATTTCACGCTATTGACTAAACTGACAGTTAAGTACATAGCTAGAACTATTTTATCAACAGATTTTATTTTTAAAATCTACTCAACTGGCGACAGAAAGCGCAATTTTTAGAGGTGAAGTTATTAAATGTTTCGATATGTCGTTAAGTTATTATAAACCAGATACAAGGTGCGTGTTAAAGAATAATATTGGAACTTATAGAGTAATATATTTCTGCGACCTGAAATTCACTATTCTTTGAAATACGGTGACAGTGTCACGTTTATTATGATTATATTGTTAATTGTTTTATTGTTCTGAATTAAATTTTATTTTGCACTTGGCATTGCTTTTCTTATACTTACAAAACATCCAGAGCTAGTGTAGTAAATCTATTTAGAGGCACACCACTTTATCTGTTAAAAACAGTCACACTTGCCCTATGTTGGCGAAAATTAATTGTTACACAAAAATGGACGTTCAAATTGTTATCATTGATCATAAAATATATGGGCGTTAATATCATATCATTAATTTTGTTGAAAACCACAGATAATAATAAAGTAACTACAAAAAGAAGCGTACTGTCACACTTGCCTCGTTGATGGGTAAGTGTGACAGTCTACCACCTCAATTAGTTTTAATTACATCAAATTACAAAATGTTACTTGTAGATACTAAAATGCTTGATCAAACATACAACCATTTAATAATTGATGTCATGAAACTGAACTCTCTATATTAAATCCTTACAGAGTAGAAGTATTTAAATGTCGATTATAGTTTTAGTTAATTTATGTCACACTTGCCCCAGGTGACCTTACGTGGAAATAAAATATGTGAATCATGCTTGTTGTTGGTACAAGTAAGATTTAGATCGAGTGTATGATCGTTTGAAACATCGTTAGTACAGTTACGTTATACAAAATAATACAAATAGCAAAACAGTGTTTTGCCGTGCGGATAGACACATTTTGAATTTATGGTGCCGCGGCCTCTATACTCATGTAGCAAAAGCCCTGTGGCTCCCGTTCAGTGCGTTAAGTCAATTTATTTCTATACGTTTGAATACAGATTCTGATAACGCACTTACCGGGAAACACGATGTTTTGGTTACATTTTGCGTATGTATAATTTATAGCAGTTTTTTTTAAACTAAGTTTCACTTAGCCCTTTTTCTAACATCGTATTCTATTTCCCTATACGCAAGTGTATAAATATTTGCGATTTAATTACTAGTAGTTGTAGCGGAGTGTGTACATATTTGGTATTAACAAAATTTTTTTTGCTACTTTCATTCAAAATTCGCCTCCTCAACCTTGCCTTACGCTGTTGCACAAAATTCGATTCGAACTGCTCTTCCGATTTTGAAAAGATTTATATTTAAATTAGCATGTTTTTTAAAGTAACAACACGTTTGAATTTTAAATGTCTTGTGCTTATAAAATTAATTTTAACTGCCAAGTTAAAGAAAGCTCAGTTCAAAGAAGTAAATAGAATAAAATGATTTCACACTGTGCAGTCGGAGCTGAGATACAATTTAAAGAAGAATTTAAACTCCGACTTCAGACTGTGAAAATATTTTATTCTATAGAAGTCGATTTTTACATACCTATTTATTAAAGTTATTTTTATGCTCTTTTGAGTGGACTAAAGAATATCAACAAACTCAATGTCGCCTTATTAGTTTAGTTAAATAAAAACTTCATCAACAATTTTTCCACCATTAGTGGTGGA